GGCAGCTTCGTTGGGCGGAGCACCCCCACACTCCCTCCGCCCCCCTGCAACCCCATGAAACTGTGTAGGAGTGACCCTCTGGCCCCATGTGCTAGGGAGGTTCACACACACACACACGTACAAACATACGCGTGGACAGAACAGACAAACACACAGCCAGCCAGGCCGGCAGCCACCCAGGCAGACGATCAGAAAGTAGCATGGGCCGAGCTGAGACCCTCACAAAGCTATTCAGGCCGGGATTCAAACCAGCTCAGATGAAAAGTCTGACCGACCAAAATTTGTCTGAAAATAATGCGACGTTTTGTCGTGATGCGGGGATGAGCACGAAGCTCGCTACCAAGCAAAGTAAGACAGGCTGACTGTCCAAATCGAGACTGCTCACGCAGCAGCACCTGATAGTCGAGCTCTGTAACCAAGCAATGAGTGTCAACAGGAGATTGCGATTATGAATGTACACGAAATGCGGAACATCATGCTCGGTTACCATAGTACAGCAAAACGGCAAAGCTTGCTGCATGCGCTTTTTTACATTACACTTCACAAAATCGAAGTGACCCATGCAGTACACGTCTGATGCCCTCACGCTGCCGGCATCCCGGATCATGTCAGACTCTCACCAGCAGTCTTACAAAACTGAGATTAGACTGCTCCACCTGGAACGGCCGCGCCAGAACTGGACGATGAGCAGGAATGGCGAAGGCTTGGTTGTCACTGAACCCGCAGGCCCTGTCAGCGGTTGGGGCTACGTGCACAGCTTCGTATCTTGAGGTTCTGCACACTTCGAGTTGCCTTTGAAGCTGGGATAGGTTCAGTGCACCAAGCGAGCAAGATGGCTCAACGTCTGCTCTGCAGATCTTAGCCGTCAGATGCACAGATCCGCAATGTGCTCGTGCTAAATCTGTGCCTTAAGCATTCGTCTAACTAAATCTGCCAACGCGTTCGACATCGCAAAGAGTGCAATAGGGTGGTAGTTTCATGAATGGTCGCATCTAGTATCTGGCAATCTAGTAGTCGCATCAAGGTTTGGTGGTCGTCGTTGTAAGCGCATCTGTTCAAAGAGTAGCGCTGCGTTTTCCATGGAGGCTCGAACCCATCAAACACAAACCAAACCAGTGCAAACACAACGACTCACAACAGAGTCTGAATTAACAATACATACCGACAAAAAACTGCCGCCGTGCCTTGCCAGACGTTGAAACCAATGCTGCTTGGACAGGTAAGCCTCGCATTCGTGCGGAAACGCAACCCGAAAAGCATCATATCTTCAAAGCTCGCGATCAAGCCTTGTGACCGGAAGCGATCTCCTTCCCGGTATGGCATGGCGAGAACTGTGAACAACGACTCCGACTTACTCCGACTTCAAAATCTGCAGGCCTTCTTAATGAAGGCACACTTCTGCGCCCGGTAATCCTGGAGCGCATCGCTCGTACAGTAGGACTTCACTTGCCTACCTGCCCCTTCAATCCTCGGCGGTACTATGCTGGGCGGAGCCCACCGCAACGAAGGCAAGGGCCAAGGAAAACCGCCACATCCTCGTCTTGGACTGGACTGTGCGAGACTCTGACGCACTCGCAGCTTTCGCACATCTTCGCGATGCAGCCTGCACGCGTCAAGAAAGTCCCAATCACGCCTGGCCTGTTGCTGACGTGCGGCTATCCCGGAAAACGCAAAACGGATGTCTTCTCTTCGCTTAAGAAACGGCTGCATGCGACCCAACGGCAAGCAGCGAACATGGTTGACCATGAACCTGCAAGGGCATGCAAAAAGGGAACAGCAACCATCTAAGACCGCCGTAATGTGCCGGTCCGAGAACGCGGCAGTTGTAAAGCAAGAAGTGCAGGAACATCGGAACACATGAGCTTCTTGTAAAAGGGGCTGAAATACGTTTTCCACCGAAAGCCCTGGACACCAGACAGAAACAGAAGCCGACGATCGGGTTCGGTGTTTGCCGCTGTTGGCCAAAGCTACCCAGAGGCATCTCGACACCCCGGAATCCAAACATTTTCACGGACCACACGGGCCTGCAAAGTACGCACTCGAAAGTCAGTCGAGTTCTCTTGTTCAGATTACAGTTTGGCAATGCCATGATTGAGGCTTCACTAGTCCTGCTCCAGCTGCAGCTTCTAGTTCCTGTCTACGGTGTGAAACTTGCGAGCAGGGATATCGCTGCCAGCTCTCTGTGCGGTGCTTCCAACCGATGACAGAATGCATGAAGTTTTGACTCTACCTCGTGCGTGCGTGAGGAAGAAACACTGCTACGAGGAACTGTCGCTGGAGCTGGATGCTTTCCTCTTCTTGGATTTGGAAGCCTGGCAAAACAATCCAAGTCCTTTCTTGGTGCAAAGCTTGAAGAAGAAGCCGCAGGTGGCGGTCTTCCAGCAACTGCTGAACAGAGCCTCGACTGCTTTCGCCAAAAGCTTCTTCTCCTTCAATGCCTTCTTCTCCTCGTGCATATCACAAACTTGTGAGAGTCGCAGCCTTTCGTACCAGCGTTCGGCCAAGCCTTCTTTGCAGCCTTCTTCTCCATCTTTTTTAGCTTCTTTTCTGCCTCCGATCAGCGCACTCATGCCAACGGCTCATACATCTCGTCCTACGTCTGATCCTTGCCAAATGCTCTGGCCATCAACAAGGCCTTTTTGAGCTTTTTGTCTTTCTTTCCGGCAGCTTTGTCCTTCCTATCGTTCTTCTCGTCGTCGTCAGGCCTTTCCACTGCAGTATTAATTACGGTTGTGTTGCTGAGCACTCGTAGCATTTTAAGAAATGGGAAGGAACCTCCGTGCGACCGTGTCTTCGTGTGCATCCTTCGCCTCGAGTGTCGAAGCGCAGAGAATGTGTGCTTGTGTGTGAGCGTCAAGATCGGATGCCAACAGCTCCTCTTGTCTTGCACTGAACAGATACAGCCTCACTTCTCTACCAGTGTGCCGAGCATCTACATGCAGGGCTTGAGTTTGAGGTGCAACATAGTGAGACATCGCAATGCCCGGTCAACCCTGTTTTCCGCAGATGACACTCGGCTGCCACGGCGAAGCCTCACCTCCGCACTGCAAAGCTCACAGGATTAGGCAAGGATGCCGCGGGGAGCACACCAACAGGATGCCGTTGCAGCTCAACGCTGGCGATGCAATACATGTTGCACAACAAGTCTTGCTTGAGTCCTTGGCATCGGCTTTACTTTCGTCTGAACCACTTGCGCTCCCAGTCAAAGAGGATGTCCCCTTTGGCGGCCCCGAGCGCCATGGCCTGTCAGAGCAAACATTGTCGAGCTGTGTGCGTCCAGCTGAGGCTCTACCTCGTTTAGCAAGACCCAGGTTGTAAGAACAAAGCTGTACACATGAACAAAGGTTTGACTGCAGGCCTTTATGGACAAAGCTTCGGCTAACCGCTTTCCATACCACCTCTGGACCCGGGTGCGGGTGCCTGACACCCAATCACACTTACAAGCCCGCGAGCAATCGTGGCAAGCGGATTCTGGGGGCCGCAACAAATGCTGGCAAGGAAGACCAACACAGGGAGGAACGAACATGCGGTGGACAGCGGGGCAAATTATCAAAAAGGCAGCAGCGCACACTTCACTCACTGGCTCAGTCTTGCACATTCCTGTTTATACACATAAATACGAACAGCATCGATATATAACAATCGCAGCGACATGCATATGCCGAGAATGTAGATCTGACCATCTAACCACGCGGACGCGGATGTATGCTCCCCCGCCCCTCCCATCGCCCCCAAGTCGTCGCGACTATGTCGTCACTAGAATGTTGCTTTCCGTTTTTTTATCGACGCGGTTTTGCATTGTATATCTGCTGTCTTGCTTGCACCTCAGAAATGTTGCTCCCGCCATGGTACGGTTCATCACTCGGCCATGTTCGTCCGCTCGTTCGAACTGTGCCGTGTACCGCCGGCCCGAGCCGAAGAGGCAGCTGGGAAAACGCCGGTCTAAAGTTCCAGCATTGATGTCGGAAAGAAAACGTCAGCACACCACCAGAGTCGCACCAGATACTTTTACCTGTTCACTTCTGCGCAGCACGAAACGTGAAAAAACGCCACATCTCGTGCTGAATCGTAACGGGCTTGGGAAGGCAGCTTCGTCCGAAGAAGTTAGGCGGCAACCTCCGGCAAATAGTATTCCAATCAATGCCCAACGCGGGCCCAGCGGCCACGCCAAGCCAGAGGTTGCAGGTTCCCCATAGCCAGGTAGAAGAATGTAGCTCCCGACTGCTGCACGGCACGGTAAGCAGAGTCCCAAAGCCGGCAAAAAGCATGCATCACCTGTGAACAAGTCTTCTTCCGGAGCGAGCTGCGAAAACTGTCATTCCAAGGGTCATATCGCGACTTGATCGTCGATCTTGCTGCGCTGGCGTCGAGCAATTCTGGCAGTCTTGGGTTTGCGGAGGTGCACTCAGAGGGCGCATGTGTGCCCACGCGCGTCCGAGTGCGAACCAGAAGCGCCATCTCCGAAGGGTGGAGCATGGCCAGAGCAGCAAGCCTGTCCACCGCAGCCAGCTGCACATTTCAGTGACACAAAAGCATGGGCGGAGAGCCGCTTACCGGCCAAAATTCGCCTGGCTGGATGTCCTGCCCTTTATTGTCGAACTGCTAAGCAGCACTCGGTGGAACTTCATACGCCAAAAAAACATTAATTAGGCTTTCGAAGCATCCTGGCATCGAGCTTCGGGCCAGGATTTCAACATCGCCCCCTTCCCAGCAGCAGCAGCACAAATCCCCGCCACTCATCCGAATCTTTTCGAGACCAAAAGCCGCCACGACGACGTCGAACGAAGTCCAGGTGCCCAGTCTCCACGGAGCAGCCGAAACGGAGCAACCACAGACCGATCCTGCGAAGGTTCGTCAGGTCGGCTGGCGGCTGTCCGGCAATGGATTATCCCTGCGTAAATTCGAGACCCTAGAATGTAGCCCAGGGCCAACGGACCCACTAAGAACCCGAGAGATGGCGAAACTGAGATCTGCCATTGCCAAGCTATGATCGCAGTCAGACAAATCCCCTGCGTAGAACCTCCACCTCTACTGAGACTCTACTGGGCCCTAACATGCAAAAGTAGCAGTGGGAATCTACAGTTTACTTACCATCGTACAGTGGTAAACGAGCCCATTGCTCTTCAGTCTGGTCGGTCGGCTCGGCTTCAGCAACCATGACAAAGTTCCGTCCGTGCCGTTCTCCATGAAGGGGAGAAGTCGGATTGCGGGCAGGCCGTAGCTGAAGAGAGATCGTGAGCATTCGTTGCCTGAGGGCGGGTCGCAATTTCCCGGTCAACTCGACGCCTCGACGCCTTATCGAGGCTGTAACGCACCCCTTCTTGTATTGGGCGCACCACAGAGATCTGTAGCAAGAGTGATCTCGGACAAGACTCGAACCAGCCTTGTCGCTCTCGCTCTTCACGGACCTGGCGCCTTGCGCATCCTGCATCCTGATGCAATGCTGACCTGGACGTTGAGCTGGCGACCGGATCCACGGACAGTAGTCCGGATAATGCCGGCAGACCTCGGCCGAGCCTCATCCGTGCTTGTCCCGGTCCTCGTCAGACGATGCCACCTGCGTGCCACCCGAGCCTCTCCAGGCCGCATGTATGATGTCATCCCTGTCCAACCCTTTGCGGATAAATCTGCACACAACTTTGCACCATCTCCAGGGTGAACAGGGTTGCCGCCCCTCTAAACGGCTCTCCTGCACCATGACCACTGTCCCGGCCAACTCCAAGACTTTTTCAGCCGCGGTCCACACATTGAAGCCATCACGCGGGCGCTGGTCCATTTGTCCTTGCCACCAAACCGCAGTCTTGACAAAGCCAATGCCACACATGATGGTTCACCTGGCAAGCCCCTTACATCCGGAAGCTTCATCTCGGAGCCCAAGTTTTGGAGCCATATTCTCCAGCGCCGGCATTGCAGAGCTCTCGGGGGTGTCAAGGCCTCCGTCAAGGCCTTCACGCTGGCCAAAATATCTGGCCTGATCTCCTTCACGATGTGCAATGCCAGGCCCGTAAGACCCTGAGCGAACCTCAATCCTGTTGGCTCCATTTGCTTCAACCGCCATGCCACTTTCAGCTCCCACATCTTCACACGGCACACGTACTCCTGGGGCTGGTGCACATTCCCGTTGTAACGGGCATCCATATTTTCCTTCAAATCGCGGACGTAGCAATGAGTCTTGCAGTAAAGCCCTTTTGTGCCCTTAATGGCCTGCCAAGGTGTCGGCCGGTAAGGGCTGGGGTTCTGGAAGTAGGTCCCGAGATTTGAAGCACAGATCCGGGAAGGCCAAAGGCATTAGAGCTGCGAACTGATGCACCTGATTCAGGCCGGGAGCCGAGACTTGAGCCAAGGTTTGGAGCGCGTCAAGCTATTGGGGAATTCCTGTTTGCAGGGTCTCGGCTGCATCAGGGCATTGGGGAAGTCTTATTTGCACAAGGCAGAAGGGCTTACTTAGGGTCTTGGCCGAGGCCTCGGGCTTTAAAGTCATTATCGTTCATAGCTTTCCTTGCGTTGCCGTTAGTTCTCTCTCTCTCTCTGCATTTTTGTTTACCCCCAGCCCCTCCCCAAATTTAGTTATTTATACTCATAATGTGCATATGTATTTCTAAAAATATGTACATATATATATATATATATATGTATGTATATATATATATATATCTCTCTCTCTCTCTCTCTATCTATCGATCTATCTAGCTCGCTATCTATTAGTTAGCTAGCTAACTAGCTATCTATCTACCCATATACCTATCTATCCATCTGTCTATCTATCCAAGCAGGACAGCTCACCGACAGTCCTACACCTCTTGTGCGGTTTCGCGTACATTCAAAGCTTCCTGAAGCCTGACACTCAGCTAGACGAAACACCCACGGCGACAGTTGGGTGGTCGTGTTTCTGCGCGGCCCTCCGACTTGACCGCATCGCATCCCGGATGATCCCGGATGGTTTGAAGTGACGGTATCAACATGCACTGTGCACGGCACTGCACGGCACCCGGCGCCCGGAGTGCTCTCTGCAGATGGTTCCCTATTTGCTGCGAGTATGTGCTCTCGCCAGCTCTCGCCTCAGCGATGGTTTTGGCCTTCTTGTACAGCTCGTAGCGATCGAAGCCCTTCCCGCCTGCCTCGTGTGTACCATGTCTCCTCTCCTTTGCACAGCTATGCCCTGATAGCCTTCTTGGGGTTCTGCTGAACAAACCTCGGTCATTCCATTTCACAGAAAAACAACGGCAACTCGACATGGAGCCTCCTCCGTCTGTCCCCTCATCCAGCATCCCAGGCATAGATGCAACAGATGAAGGGACTAAGTAAGCGCCCGTCTCGATCTCCTCGTCAGGGCTCGGAAGAGGCTCCTTGTCCCCAGCACCTGCATCAACCGCTTGTTGTCACCAGAGGCTGTCATGCAACGTGTGCTAAGGCAGTATCGCTGCGGCCTGCAGTTTTGAAGCCGCTTGAGCGAGCCTAGCCAGCAGGAAAGCTGCATGCAGCACGGCCTCCCAAGCTTAGCCATAACACCGAGCCCTGAGGTAGGGACTTTGGGCTTCGGCTTGACCGCACCTTCCCACAAACAGACTGCCACAAGTCTGCGGACTGGCAGCCCCAGGGCAGGACCTGGAGCTTTCTTTGTCTCGGGCTTGGACTTGACCTGCGGTAGCCAAGTTTGAAACCGAGCTAGCAGCTATCCCTCGCCTGACTCCCGTGGACCCGTGGCCCCGTGGCCTGCGCTGGCTTCTCTTCTGCTTTCTTGGAGCGACTTTCCAGTCTTTCCCTTGTGGAGCTGGACACCTCACATGAATTGCAGCAATCTTCCGTAAAGAGTTGCGGGAAGGCACAAGGCAAGGTGCCTGCATGAGCGAAGATGCAGTACTTTGGGCACCTGCACAGGACATCAATGCCATTGACATGTTGAGATGCCAGCATGCTGCAGGTGTACGGACCCACGCGAATCGTAACAACTTTGGGTACTCTTCTGAATCTTCAGCCATATGGACTCAACTGCCGCAAGATATCGACCACTCTTCACGAACCGCCGTCTCTTGAGCGTCACTTGCCGCCACGCACTACGGGTCAAGGCCTTCCATCCTTATCGGCTCAAGGGTCTTGTCCTGACTGCAGATATCATCTTCCAGCTCCGGCACTGAAAATATCAAAAGGTCCTCCGGTGCCATGTACTCTTGCCTCGTCGGCCACGAATACAGTTCCACCTGCTGTCAGCCATGACACGCCCGCCCACCTTTTAGTGTCGAAATCGCGTGGCGCATACACAGCCCAGGCTTGCGCCTCGTCCATCTCCCACGCATAGTCGCTGGCGGATCTGCTCAGATCAAGATCGACCCCGTCCTTCTCCAGAGCTACCTGTCTTGTCCACATGCAAGTAACATGATGCAAGATCATCTGTAGATGCTTTGATTGCCAAATACGAACACGGGGTCCGAGCATACCCCATATTATGCTTTTCTTTTCCTTGTGAGCTTGGAAGCCCCCAAATCTCGAAACAAACGGCACTTTTAATTGGACACGAAGCAAGACGCTTGGCGTTTTGTCAAGAACGTTGGGATGCTGAAATGCTGTTGGACTGGAGCTCCAAAGGAAAGTATTCCAAGCGTACCACAAGGCCCCGAGAATCACTCCCAGCCCCAGTCGAGAGCCCCTCCACAGATGAACATGCGGTGGCCAAGAGGCAAACCGGGCGGGTTGTCGCTTTGGTATCGTCGACATTCGATTTGCTTGCACAGATCGGGCCGTTGCGACTCGGCTTCGGCTCACTGCTGCAACGACCACAACAACCTTCAACTCTTCAACACAGATGGACCCTTGAATCAACCAAGCTGAGAGAAACTGCAGACAACAAGCTTTCCAAATCAAAGTCTCGTGACCGAATGCTTCGGAGAGAAAGCCGTTGGTTGACTCGGTGACAGCTAGGACTGTGCTGAATTAAACGGACGAATGCGAATGGGTGTGAAACGTCTTGGTACAATCGACAAGCAGGGCCCACGCCCGTCTCCGAGACGTTGTGGGCTCGCCTCGGGCTCTGTCGCAGCTTGTCCGTGCTGCAGTCGCTCTCCGAGTGACTGGGGATCAAACGCCCACTCTTGCACGAGGGACCGAAGCGGCGCCGACTTGGCGCCAGAGCCCTCGGCTCCCATGCTCTACGGTTTTGCCTTATTGCTGCAATTTGCTTGACTCGACTTGCTGCCGAGCAGCCAGCCAGCGATGCTTCCGATCATCGCCAGACACCGCGAGAATCAAGAAGTTGATCATGTCTGCTTTCCAGGCTGACCTGATCTCATGTCTGTAGAAGTCGGCGATCTCTTGCCATGCTGTTTGCTTTGCCTTCAAAGGACCGACTCTCGAGCTCGGGCTTTGCGAACTGGTTTCCTTACGTCGGCCTTGGCTAGCACGACTGTGCTCGGCGTGCTCGGCACGATTGCAAATGTGAAGCCAGACCCGTCTGAGCAGCACTCCTTGCCAATCCCGCGCAGCAGGTGTGCGACATGCTATTCTAGGGCCGATCCGTGTTGCTGCAGTCTTGCACTGGACGTTTTGCTTCTGCGATGGTTGCTTGGACTTTGGCAAGCTGGAGAGCTTGATCCCGAAATGATTTTTGAAGAAGACAACGGCGATATCGCAACAGTCCTTGGATAAATGTCCCGAATCGGCCTCTTGAAGATTGTTTCGCTCCGACAAACCTCGGTCCAGCTTTGCAATGCATCGTTGGCATAGGACAATGCACTCTGCAATATCCGAAGAAAGTCTGCCTGGTCCAAGTGGGCATTGCAATACACCTCAGCATGGGCAGGGCGACATACCGGACGACATGGTCCATCATCACAGACGCAGGCTCAGGCACTGCCACAGACACGTTGCACCATCGTGGACATACAATCACTCTCCTAAGGGTTAAAGACTCAACTGGTTCACTACGACGGCCCTGACAAGGTGCTTGTACAAACAAACACGAGAAAACTGAATCCAAACAGAATCCGCTGTGACTCTGTGATATACCTCACAGCATATATACATACATGTGTACACGAATACGTATATCTACAGATGCACACGTGCAGGCATACATACATACATACATA